TACTTAGCACAGTTCCTGGCACCTAATAGAATGTCTACTAAGGAGTGCTTTCCCCTTCTCCCATATGGAAATCTGCCACCAGAGTGGCCCTTTTAACCATACTGATAGAGAAATTTCTGGGTAAAGGTGAAGGAGATCCCAATACCTGCTTACTCTGGCTTTCTCTTTAACCCTGAAAGGTTATTAAGTCATCCATGTTAGTTGCATGTAGTGGAATTAACAACTTCCTTTTCCATTCTAACTCCTGCAAGTATTTGGAGAGCTGAGATGTCTCCACCCCCCCTTTCCTTTTTTTTGGCTTCCCACACAAGTAAGCGAGATTACTACTCAGCCAAGCATAATTTCACTACTTGAAAAAAGCTTTAGGCTGAGAATATACACATGTCCCACCTTCATATCCCCAACCCACCTCCATCCTCCTGGTCCCATAGAGACATCAAATGGAGAGCAGCTTACCTTGTAAGGATGCTTGTCTTCCCCTATCCAGGAAATGTGACCCTCACACCTGGCTGTCCTGGTTCAGCACCACATTCAGGCAACCCTACCCTTTCTGCAGCTCCTGGGACTGGACCACCCACACCTGGAACCAGTGTGTACTATCCTGAGAGTGGCCAACAAGCTCCTCTGAAAACTTTGAACCTGTTGCAATAGAGGTTCAAAGGTAGAAGTTACCTGTTCAAACACTTGCAGTAACCTCCAACAGTGATAAGTACAGAATTTGGCAAAAGGTTAAAACATAAGATTGTTATGCAATGGACTCAAGGGGAAAAAAATAAGACAACCTTCAGCTCAGAAAGCTAACTTCTAACAAGAGAAACCTTTTATAAAGCCCATATATACCTCAGGGGAAGGAAAAGGGAGGGCATGATTTTGTATCTGCATTTTTGGCAGAAACCTTGAGATTGTGATAGGAAGATGAAGATTAGAAAACAAAAGGAAAGAAAGTGCTTTGGTGGTACAGTGGTTAAAGTGCTAGGTTGCTAACCGAAAGGTCAGCCGCTTGAACCCACCAGCTGCTCCATGGGAGAAAGATGAGGCAGTCTGCTTCTGTAAAGATTTACAGTCTTGGAAACCCTATGGGGCAGCTCTACTCTGTCCTATTGGGTTGCTATGAGTTGGAACAGACTTGATGGCAATGGGTTGGTTTTGGTTTAGTGGCCATCCTGGAGTTGAATGATAAGAAAAAATCTTTAAGACTGCAAGGCAAAAACAATGCGTACAGATGAGAGAGGTCTCGGAGATCAACCATGTTCAGCCTCTATTTCACAAGTGACACTGGTGGCTAAGGCACTTGACTGCTAACCAGAAGGCTGGTGGTTCAAACCCACCAGCCACTCCTCGGAAGGAAGATGGGACAATCTACTTCCATAGTGATACTGCCTCAGAAACTCAAGGAGGGGTCGCTATGAGTCGGGTCCGACTCAACGGCACATAACAACAACAACAACAACTGGTGAGGCCAATCAGATCTGCTCAGGTGAAGAAATTCACCCCGAATCACACAACCAGTTAGCCATCAAGCCAGAGCCTGACCCAGGCAACAGACAAGCACTACAGTCCAGTGCCTCTGCCTCTATGCTGTGCTGCTTTGCTGATAAGTATATGTTTAGCCACCAGACCTTAGTCACAGGGACACTTTCTGTGTACCAGGCCTGCAGAAATTCATGGAAATGCTGCATCAAGTTTCTTCTTATTGTGTTTGGTCAAGTGGCCAATATAAAAATCAGAGCCAATACCACTTCCTGCTGACTCCTTCATGGAGGAGTGGCCACACAGAAGTCTTTTAAGCCAGGCTCTCATCTAGGTCTTAGGTGCATTAACTCTTTAGGGTAACTTTCTGCTACAGAATCCTGCTTTTGCCTCACTACTCCTGCAAGAAAAGCACTTCTAAGAAGTGGCTAAGAAGATAAAATTCAACAGGCACTGGGGTTCGAGGACCACTTGATTGGACTAATGCTAAACTGTGTCAAGTAGTAACCCAATGAACACCTCCTGTTGTCAGAATGCTTCAGAGAGCAACATGTTCCAAAATAGTGTTTTCCAAACTTTGGCTAGCATCATAACCCCCTGGAGGGCTTCTCACAACATAGATTGCTGAGCCCGGTCCAGAGTTTCTGATTCAGTAGGTCTGAGTTGGGGCCTGAGACTCTGTATTTCTAACAAGTCCCAGATGATATGGATCGTGCTGGTCTAAGGATCACACTTGGACCACATTAGGAGCATTACTACTCCATGCAGCCACCTTGCCTTCAGTGGGCTCAATTACTGAAATGTCAAAAGGAATTGTGTTTGGGGTAGTCTTGGCTATGGTGATCCTACAGCCTGGAGGCAAACCTGGCACAGACTAGACCTTATCACTTACTCTAGGTCAGGAGTGTTACTCAAGACCAGCTCGAAGGGCAAATCCTAATACCAGCTGGGGATATTGCCACTCACTATCCCACTTTGATTTACATTAAGAAGCATCACAACTAGACAAACCATGTGGGGATGGGTGTGTAGAGGGAATCACCTGTTCCAACAGCCTTCATTTTATTCTTGAGGTATCTGAGACCCCAAAGGGCAAGCCATTGGCTAATAAGGTCAGATGCATCAGCTTTGTTGAAGTCAGTCCAGAACCCAGGTCTCTTGTGTCCTAGTGGGCTACACCATGTCTTGATCAACTATTTATACACACTCACCCACACACACATATCTCTATCTCTATAAATATAATCTCCAAAAAGCATGTATTAGATAAGAGTTCTTTGTAGCGATCTCTGTCCCCTCATCCTACAGCCATTTGCATCTAGAATTCAGTATAAAATCAAATTCATTTTAGGTTTGGGCATTCTGTAGCCCCTGAAAAGTCAAGCCTTCATTTTGCAGGGCATTCCCAGGTGAGGTGCCTGACTTGTGACAGTCTAAACCAACAGCCACAATTCTGATATACTCTCATACTCTGCTCTGATCTGTTTGTATACATGCCTAACCTTTCCATGGGGATAAAGAAACCACACATCTAATGTACAACAGTTCCAGAAGTCCAGAGTCTAACATTCTAGAGTTTTGTAACACAGCCTGGAAAAGCCCCAAGATACCTCCCATGATAAGGACTGGCAACAATTCTGAAGCAGGAAACCAGGTTTTCACCCCTGTTTTTGAAAGCTGGGAAGGACAGATGTTATAAACAGGGTGACATTAAATTGCCTCACTGTACCTTTTCTTAGTCCCTCCCATTTTACAAAATACCTTCCAGACTATCTCTTAACAAGCCTATGAATTATGCTGTTGTTACTGCCCTTGAGTTGGCCTCCAAATCATGTTGACTCCCTGTGCAATGGAATGAAATGCTGCCTGATCCTGTGCCGTCCCATTATTGGTTGTGGATTGGATCACTGTGGTTCATAGGGTTTTTATTGGCTGATTTTTGCAACTAGACAGTCAGGCCTCTTTCTTGTCTCTTAGTCTGGAAATTCCACTGAAACCTGTTCCACACCATAGGAACATGCAAGCCTCCACTGACAGTGGGATGGTGGCTGAGCATGGACTGCATTGGTTGGGAATGCAGCCTAGGTCTCCATGAGAAGGCGTGAATTCTACCACTGAGTAATAGTGGGGAAAATACCTCTGACATCCAAAATCTCCAGTGGCCATTGGGTGCCAGGCCCAAGCATTTCACACATATCATCTCATTTAACCCTCACTATAAACTTGCCAGGTAATTAGCATTTATTACATTTGAGAAAATTGAAGCTCCAAGAAGCTAAGTAACCTAAGATCCCACAGCTTATTAATGGTGTGATGATGGCAGTAACTCACTCACTGCTTTCGAGTCAATTCGACTCATAGTGATCCCTCCTTGGGTTTCTGAGGTGGTATCTCTACGGAAGTAGATTGCCCAATCTTCCTTGTGAAGAGTGGCTGGTGAGTTTGAACTGCCAGCCTTCTGGTTAGCAGTCAAATGCCTTAGGCACTACGCCATCAGAGTTCCTGATGATAGCAGTGGTGGGGCCAATTATTATTTTTAATAATTGCAGACTATTTTGCAAAGCCAAGTGACTTGTAGCTTGTCCTTGAAAGTTAATCCTTCTTTCAGGAGCTCAATTGGTTACCAAGTAGATTTCAGAGAAGGATGGGAAAGAACCAGATTTGGTACTAACTGTTACTTAAAGGTCTTAGAGAGCTATTTCCACACTCCAGATGCTGCTGAACCCAATGAAACTCTTCTAAAGGAAAGTTGAATTCTTCCTTTTAATAAAACTTCTACCTTCAGAATCTAGAGGATTCATCTTAAACCTGTCTAGCTCCTCTGCTTCCCAATATTATCTTGGATTCAGATTAGGGGACAGCCACTGAACAGTGCTCAGCAAAAGCATTTTGAGTGAAGATAAAGATGAAAGATGGGAATGAGAAGAACAAGGGACAGCACAAAATGTCTGGAGTAACTGGGACACGTGGAGAATAGGGAACACTTACTTATGAAGAATGTAGACTAGTTTGACTGCTAATCCAAGTCTTCGGAGGCAGACAACATGACCTAAGAGGAAAGAGCAGCAGAGTGCCAGAACTGCAGACCATCTACCCATGTTAACTTAGTAACTATGGATCAGAAAGGAAAACAGTGAGATGTTTCTCCCTAGAGCTAGCTGTAGAGCAGGGCAGAGGCTGTGATGCCAGGCTCTTAAGGTCCAGCTCCATGAAGTTTCCAAAAATAAAGCTGCAATGGACTGACCTTTAGCTTTCCACATGGCACAGCTGACTTTGAAGTTTAGCTTCTACTGAGATGTGAAACGGAAGGGGCAAAGTTCCTTAAATACTTTCTTAGCAAGAGTGCCATAATCGGCCATATGAATACTCTACCTTCCCCAGGTTATCTGATATTTCAAAAGTCTACACTCAAAAGACTTCTTTCAGCACAGCAATCCATGGTTCTCATGCCAGATCCTTCCTGAAGGCCATCTGGATGATCATGAGAGTGGACGTTATTAAGCACTAACCATGTGATAGGGACTGTGCCAAGAGCTTTGTTGGCACGATCTCTTTTACTCTTTATTGCTCAGGACAGGGCAATATTTCATTCTTTTACTCTTATAGAAATCCTGTGAAGAAGTTGTTATGGATATTCACAGAGAAGAGAGGCTAAGACAGGCCACATAACTTGCCCAAGGCATATGGCTGCCATTGGCAGAGTTGTAGAATCAGCCTTTGAGCTCAGTAAACCTGAGGCCAGAGCCCAAGCACATACCCATGATTGTGTATCATCCACTCCATGAGCACTTGCAATATGGTGTGTTTGTAAGTGCATTTCCCTTGGGAACTTTCATAGGCTTCTCAAAGTAAATAGAGAACTGCTTACCTAGAAAGGCAGGACCCAAGATCAGCCATGGGGACTAGAGGCCAAGGGCAGAACACTAGCTGCCCTCTCTGTCCTTAGAAGGAGTTCTGGTGGTACATGGTTTAAACATTGGACTGCTAGTCAAAAGACCAGCTGCTTGAACCCAACAGCTGCTCCATGGGAGGAAGATGAGGCAGCAGTGTTGGTAAAGATTTACAGCCTTAGAAACCGTGTGGAGGTCACTATGAGT